CTTATCATCTGCTATACTCATATATTCTTCCATGCAAAGTAATCATCTCCCAATCATACTTCGTAACTGGGTTTCAGTAGTTACATTTGATTGATAAAAAAATGATTAAAAAAAGTTATCATTTTCTATTTTTTTTTAGTGAATAATATAAACCAAGTAGTTATTGATTTTTTTGGCCATTATCTTTCATTTTAAATTTGGGACAAATATGTCATTACTCAAAACAAAAATCAAACAAGTCCGAGACTAGTTAATAATTATCACATATCAGGGTATTTATATGTCATTTATTTTAGGGATATTCTTTTGTCAATTCTCTATTTTTTTTCTGCCCTTTTAGTCGATAAGAATACATCACAATTCAATACTTCCTCTATTATTTTATTGTCAAAAAACTATCATTTTTTATTTATATTTTTTTATACATAAAGTCATTTATTTTAATATTTATTACACAGTTTTTAAATCACCTCTCATAATTTACATTAATAAGGAACAATTAATGTATGGTTATGTTAATTAACACAGGACATTTTAATCTATTTTTTTATTTTTAAACATAATTACTACCATTAATTAACTTTTTTAAATTACATTATATAATTATATATAATATATTATATATATAATGGGAGGGAGTATTATCTTTGTCCGTAATAAATATAACTTAATGAGAACAGAAGTTGATAGAATGGTCAACAATTTGAAGATCTTGCCTAGAGGCATCAAATACAAAGGACAAACCGAGTATTATCTTTGTCCGTAATAAATATAACTTAATGAGAACAGAAGTTGATAGAATGGTCAACAATTTGAAGATCTTGCCTAGAGGCATCAAATACAAAGGACAAACCGATAGATATGGTTTCATAACAATGACAGTATATATATATATATATATATATATATATATATATATATATATATATATAATTTTGTGTTGAACTTGAAAATTAAAGATGGATCAGATAAAGTTGCAAAAATCTGGAGACGATAAGGTGGCACCCAAATTATGAAGTGGTTGGTATCTGCTTTTCTGCCAACCTGGCAAGAAAATCCCAACTTCTCCAATCAGCTATTGCTCTTTATCTAACCAAATCTATGACATTCATAATTGTTATCATATCACAACTCATAACTCAAGTCTCAAACTTCATATATTATGTAAGAAAATGTATTTAATTATTTTTTAGATACACAATCCAATTTTTAAAAAGTCATGTAAATTTGGATCTGACTAATTTAATTAAACTTATTAGGTCAGGTGAGTGTGTAAAAGGCTTTTTTTTGTTATAACTTTCTCTAATCACAAATTCAAACTTATATAATTTGAAGAAATCAGGTGCCAAACACATGAGCCAATGCTGTGTATTTACTTTAAAAGTTTGTGAAATGCTCTATATGTTATTTTTTAAGGGATTAAATGTTAAAAATTAAAATGTAAGGCATTTATAATTTTTTAAGATATTTTTTCAATAGTGTCCCTATTAAATAAATTACTTTATATTTATTTTAAAGAAAAACACTCTATTTAAATATAAAAAGATAGAGTTAATTTAAAAACAAGTAACTACTTTATTGAAGATAAAATTTAATTTAAAATATCTTATATTTTTTAACAAATGGAGTAATATTTATCATATGATTTTTGGAGTTAGAATAAATACTACAGTATAATGAGCTGAACAAGTTACCATTTAAACAGGTTCCACTAATGTTGCCTTACATGTTGGAGAGATCTAGACCCTTCCAAACAATGTAGTGATTAGAAATTAAGAAAAATATATTGAGATTTGCAGTCAATGAAATGCTCGATCTCGTAAATTGTTGGATATAAGGTTTTATGAAAATATTTTTATAGCAATGGAAATAAGAATATGAGTAAAAATAAAGGTTGATAAAAAAGTATATTTGATATATAAAAAAGGGAATGAAGTGTTTCTCAGTCAAATAATAATACCTCTAACATAAAAAGGAATTTTTTTCACCGTTTCCATAAAAAAAATTGTAAAATATTTAATTTCTTTAATTTTTTAAAAAGAGGAAATAATTGTTTTGAGATGGGAAAAAGTAAACTAGCAAGCTAAGCCAACACTTTCTTCAGTTATAATTTTTTTTTCCACGACACATCAACATGAAATTTTCCTTTTTTGTTTTTACCTTTTTGAAGTATTATATATGCTGAGAGTATGAATACTAGAGACAAGCCTCTTGATGAAATTGCTGTATGAAGATGTTGATCAAGGATTTTTTTTTTTTAATATAAGATCATAGATAAACCTTGTAAAGAATAAGTAAATCAAATCATAAAAAAAATTATTAGGTCTCTGCATACTAAGAAAAGGTCATGATGAAGGAGTATTCAATTCCAGCAAAGTTAAGCCAAAAGACGTCTCATTAAAATATGGTCCTGCTGCCATTTGACAAGTCATACACTGTTTTTAAACAACTTATTCTTCTTCCTCCTTTTTTATAGTTTTAAACAACTTATTTTTTATAGCAAGCTGAAGTAGAATCAATAATTCAAGCCAAACCTGACAGGTCAGGTTGAACTTGCTCGAAAAAAATTAGGGCTAAATTTGGGTATATGAGCTTTTTAAAGAGGGTAGAACATTTTAAAACTCGATTCAAATAAGTTTGGCTTGAATAAGCCCGACCTTTGAAATTTTCAACTCTATATGCATATAAATTGGTAATTTTGATCAAACTCGATGGATTTGCCTAAATCAGATTGAAAAAAATTAGGATTGGACTTGGCTATATGGGCTTTTTTGATAAGGTATCATACTTCAACTCCAATCCAAATAAGCTTGGCTTGAATTGAACCAGACCCGATTAAGCCCGATCTACTTGAATTACCAGCTCTAAGCTAGAGAGACTTCTAATTCTTTGTGCTCTGTACCACTTCCAAACATAGTCTTATTTCAAGTTCTCATCCTCCCATTTATTAAGAAAAGGGAGTCTCTCCTGTTGATTTTCCGCTTGGTTTGTGTAGGAGCATGTAAAATGTGGTAATATAGTAAATATATTGAATAAAAAAGTCCAAAAAAAAAATTAGGGAGAATCATACCTAATGCTAGTAGATCGAAGAAATTCGAACTTAAGCCAATACCTTTTGAATTGATTCTGCAGGCCTAAATGTCTTATACACAACTATGTTTTCTGGTGAAAATGCATCAGCTCCTCATTGTTAACCGCCAATGGGCATGCTTTATTTGGATCTTTTTGTTCTTTTGATCTACTACTCCCTTTCTTTCTATTAGAAGGTTGTAGATGATGATAAAAGGACATCCTCTCTATTGTATTTTGCTAAACCTTAAATATGAATGTTGCCACTTTAAATTCAAAAAACAAACGCATTAGCCCCTTGTATGAAAAAATAACATCATGCACTAAAAGCACAAACCAAAAAGTATTTGTAGTTTCTCTCATCCTCGAACCATGAAGCTTGATCCTCGTTCAATCTGGTCTTGACCTTGACAGACTCATTTAGGGTGTTTTGAAGTCATTTTCTTCAGCATTGAGGGATGAGGTTGTGGAGAAAAGAAGTGAGAAAAATTTAAGTAGACGAACGCATTCTATCATCAACAAACCTATTTCTATGAAGTCGGCTGACCCATTTGTGAGAAAGTTTGGCATAAGGTTGTAGGTGGGTAAAATTTGTGATTTGTCATCTCTTCCTCATCTCTTTGTTGCATGTAAATTCCTATTTTGTGCCAAAAACCAACATTTTTCTTGGGATTGGTGGATAAAGAATTTCACTACCCAAGAAAAAATGGAGGATTTGTTAATATGTGAATATTTAGTTGTAAAGATAAGAACTTGTTGTCAATATAAATCTTAGGTGTGAACATATAAAGTCATAAGTATTTTGACTTGTGAATATTTGAACTTTCAATTATAAATTTGTAAACTTTGCTAACATAGTGATGTTGATTCTTTAAATTTGTTGGCTTGTTGTCACTAAATTTGTAAGCTCCCTTCACCTTCTTCTTTAAATGCTGATCCTTTTTTATGAAGTTTGTAATTTCTTTGAATTTAGAAGGAGAACATCGAGTGTTAAAAGGTGTTTAATATTTTTTTAGTGTTCTCTTTGTTCAGGGGCGTTATGTTTATAAGGATCCCTCTCCTCTTCTCTCATCTTTTTTTCAAATTTTAACTGATGCGTTAATTGAGTCAACCAATTTCTTGTGCTATCCTTATTCTTCTCTAAGAATTCCTTCATGAACTCATGCTATCTTCAAAGATGGGACCGTTTTTGGTTTTTTTCTCCTCAACATTTTATACACCTGTATAGATTAGTAATGTTCACAAATGTACTAGTAAAAGTTTGAATATTCATAAATACAAGCTAAGATACTTACAAGTAAAAATTTATATATCTTGATAAGTAAAGATTTAGAGTTAATGCATGTGTTGGCAAATTTTGCAAATTTACAGCTAAAAGCTTGAATATTCACAAGATATGTTTAAGTCAGAGTTCATAATTTACCACTTAAGATATTCACAAGTCAAACTCTCTTTATCTAATGCTGTGCTTGGGGGAAAAAAAAATCGATTTTGCTGTTTTACTGAGAAAAAGTTTCAGAAAAAATTGAGAATATCCAATTCACCCCTCTACATGGTGTCAGTTTATCTCACAATCGCGTTGCGATTTTGCTAAAGCCACTTTTGGTTGCTCAAGTAAGGAAGTGCTAGAGGTGTGCCGTTGGGTGAACCGAAACTGTTGTAAGTTATTGGCAGCATGGTGAAACACTCTTTTCATTGTTGTATATCGGAAGGGAGTCCTCGATTAACTCAAACGTACTTTGTTCAGCAAGAAACCTGCATTGTTATTTTCCCCTATTGATGGAAACCATTTAGCCAAAATCATGGGGGAGGGGTTCATAGGCCTTGGCATTAAGTCAAAAAGCTTCCACAAACTAACCAATATAGTGAAGTTCCTCAAAATCAAACAAAGAAGCTCTACAATCTAAACATAGCTTTCCTTACTTAATATTCTTTCATGACCTTTGTGACAATGCTATAAGAAAACAAATTCTGACATAGCAAACACATACTTTTATTTATAAATTAATAATCTATTCAAAAATCCGCCCTTGAGAAAATTGAATAAAATTATGATTCCCTGGAGCATCTATCCGAGGAATAAAAGAAGAGCGACTCAGTTAGCAAAGCAAATAGGACTGTGTTTGTGAATGTGCAAAACTGAAAGTTTAGAGGACTCTAATAATTTCTCCTTTTTTCTTTCCGGTTTAAAATCAAGCAACTGCTTTGTTTGCTTATTTATCAACAAATACATTCATTGATATATATATATATATATATATATGTCAGTAATAATGCATTGGTAACAGTAAAACAGTTAGTGTATGTCAGCATCACTATGTTAATTCTCAACAGCTTATGTACTTCTTCACAGCATCCCTCATGTCATCAAAACCTTCAGAGACCTCAAAGAACTTGATCAACTTCCAGAGCTCTTGATCACCAAGATCATCGATAAACGGCTGAATTTGAATCGCGTTATCAGGTTGCAATGCATATGAATTTGGGTTATCATCAACAATAACGACACGTTTCAGATCCCTGCCCATAGCAGATAAGTCCTTCACGAGCTTCCCATATACTTCCCTGCACGAATCACGGTACAGCCGGTGAGAAATCCGTCGTTCCGAGTCGACCCGATCTAGAACCATCGACGCATAAACTTCCAACGCCGCTGTGAAAACCACCACTTCATACTTTGCCGCCAGCGATTCTAACAAGTCATCCACTCCTGGCCGCTTCAAAACATAGAAATTCGTAATCTCACCGTCGATTCGTGGCCGCACGACAAAGTCAAATCGTTCTGGTGGCGGGTCGACCCTGGAATGGACTAGAGTTTCGTCCAGGTCGAGAAAGACGGTTTTTCTATGAGGGTAAATCAACGGAGGTAACAAGGAGAGATCAGGAAAGAGATTTATGCCTGCGGAGTTGAAGGATTGCTCATAGACTTGTTCTTCTTTCCAATGGGGTTTCTTTTTCAGGATGTGATAGCCTTTCCGCCGACGATTAGGAGTGGCGATTTGCGCCAACTTGGAGAAGAGTTTGGTGATGCGGCGGTGGATGGAGGAGAGGACAGCGGAGGAGATAGCCACGGCATGTTTGATCGGAGATTTTTGCCTCCTACGAGGTTTGATGGATTTTGTCGGAATTCTTTTGATCTTTGATACCATTGAGAAGATTTTGAAGTGCTGAGATAGAGAGAAAAGAGACCGTTTAAGGTGGGATTTACTGAAGACAGGAAAGGAGAAATAGATAATTAAAAAAGAGAACTCCAAAAATCCTGGTTAGGCAGAGCGCATGGTTGGAAACAGAGCAATTTAAATCCTGGTTTGGTGTAACGGTCGCGCGTAGCTTCGGGACCGAGGCTAGATTCTTGGCTTGCATGGTTAAGAAAATTTCAATAAAGACTCATTGATTTTAGATAATTAAAAAGAGAACTTCAAAAATTCTGAACCCTCGTTGTAATTTTAGGACTCTGAGTTGAAATTAAATTTGAGAGTAAAATGACAAACTTAACCTTACTTCAATTGTTAATTCATTTCCCAAGAAAATATTGTTAATTACCCTATTTTAATTATTTGATATATTATTTTCATTTGATGTTATTTCATGTATTGCTTTTATTCTAACTTAATTTATTCATTTTCCTACTATGATTTGTTTATTTCTTTATAAAATGTTACTGCCCTATTTCCATAGGGGATGAACAAATCATAGCAGGGTAATTAACAAATTAAAATAGGATTAATTTTATCATTTTATTTTCAATTTTAATTTCAATTGAGAGCCCTTGAACCGCAATGAAGATTCATAATTTTTGGCAAATGAAATGAGGAAAATTGGATTTAAGGACCAAGATACAGCTTTATATTTACCGTAAAGGGTGGTTAAAATAATATCATTGTAATTTATAATAAACGACCAAAAAATGTTAATATTTTAGCCTATATCATTTTACCTTCATAATTTGTATTGCCTCTCGTTTTCTAGACTCTAATTCAACAATTATACTTCATTATTGTCTTCATTATATCTAAGGTTATACAAAGTATTGTTGTCTTTCAACTGCTTATTCATTCGAAAATATTTTTTATATTTACACGAATTTAAACTCTAACCTTTAATTTATTATAATTTTTTTGATAAAATGATAAATAATTTAAATACAGTTAAAAAAAGGAAAGAGAAATATAAAGCAAGAAACTAAAGAAGCCCCCATTATTAAATGGTCATATTCTTTATATTATAATCAACGCTTATTATTGACCTTCTCTCGCGGATTCTAATCCTTGGAAACCATTGAAAAGCAAGTGTACTTGAGCCCATTTTTTAGAATTAATTAGCAATCACTTTAATGGTTTTTTGGATGTGTATAAGTTATTGCTTCATGGAAATGTTGAAGAATATCCAGGCACTATCCATATGGTAGTTGATTTAATTCATCAAAATTCTCAGGAGTGGAATTAAATATGGGAAAAATATAGCTTCTATATCCTCCAAAAGTGGCCTCAACCGCTATGCTACTGCTACCATTTCACTCATCAATTGTGAAGATAAGATAATTTGAACTTAACATGTGGTGTAGTGGCTATCTCGCTTCATCCCTTAAATATATAGTGGATGATTCGATTCCTCACTCATGTGAATGGAGAGCACTTTATGGCCAGCCGTCTGCCTCTTTGTGAAAGACCTCACGGTAAAAGGATTAGTCACTGTTACCAACAGTGGATACCTTGGGCAATCAAAAAAAAAAGTGGACTTAGCATCCTAGTGGATCAATTCTCACTCAAAACTCACTTTCAAAGAATTGCAACAGGGTGGAAACATGCGTTTGCTAATTAAGTCCAGTTGAATACCTTATTCAATCCTTTTTATAAAGTCCTATCAACTACGATTTTAATAAAGTTAAAGAAGTTCATTAAAACTTAAAGTTAGTTAAATGGTGATTATTATTTTTTAACTTTTCAAACTTAAATTTGAATTGATATCATTCATTTGAAGGGAGAAGGATAGGAAGGCCAAGAGTTGCACCAAAAAGGAGTTGTATCACTATCTAACAGACTAGCTTGTTAAATCGGAGAACCCCTTTCACTTATAAACCTCACATCATTTGTAAGGCTTCTCAATATAGGACTCATGATAATGCTATCTCATCGATAGCTGACATTCCTAGCGGCTCTACTTTATGGCACTTCACTCGAGCTCTTACTAGTTAGAATTTTTTGTAAGTAGCCATTTCCGTAACACTGGCTTTTTAATAAAAATACTAATGTGATGAGTACAAACTTAAAAAGAGAATCCATCCTAAAAGACTAGCATGGTAAGAATGTCCCCTAAACTTATAATTTTGGTGGCTCCCATTCCATGGCACTTTACTCGACTACGGCCCATCAAAACCTAGACCACAAGCTCAAAGGAAATAGCACCATCATTCAACAAACTAGCATGTTAGGTGAGAGAAATTTTCATACTTATAAACCTCACATTATTTGTGATGCTCCCTGATATGAAACTTATAACAAAAAACAACACATTAAATCACTTAAACTATACTATTATTACTTAAATTTGCATCTTTTGAACTGACCAACCCTGTGCAATGCACATGATTATGACTAGTTATCATGATAATACAAAATTGAGAATAAAATTTTGAGTTAAAATAAAGTATCAAGCCCACTTATAACATCATCTCCTAGCTCTGGGCCCAATGGGCCCAAATATACTCTTCCCTCTCAAATGTTTTTTTATTTATTATCAAACTCTCAAGTGGTTATTAACAAAAAAAAAAAAAACACTCTCAAATGGTTAGTGCAAATCGTTCGAAGGAGGTTTGGCCCAAAAACAGAAAAAAAAAAAAGATTCGAAGGAGAACTCTTTTGACTTGAGAACCCAGTCATTGCTGCTAACTTAGCTATATATATATATATATATATATATATATATATATTTTTTTTTTTTTTTGGGTCCATGTTTCTGGTGACAGAGATGCTTTTGTTTTTGTCCTTTATTTTAATCATCTTCCATGTATCAAGTTTTAATTAGACTTGATCTTTTTACCCAAAGAAAAAACAAAGAATCTTAAGGGCGTTCCTTCTTCAAAATCGACGGCGAATTGGCCAGTTTTAAAGTATACGTGGGCTTTTAGTTTTCACTTTTCATCCACAAATGCAATACAATAATTGGCGAAAGAGCTATTCATCACGGCTCTTTTGAGAAGACACTCGTTTGCTAGAAAATGGTAGGACCACGAAAAAAATGAAGAATATATTTTAAAAACATAAAATAAATTTAAGATTGTCGTTTTTCACAAGTTGGTTGGTGGGAAAGGAACATTGAACACCGATCTAAAAACATAACAAGTATTACAAATCCAACCATTTAATGAATGTTTCATGTTAACACAATATCACTTGTCAATTTAGTTAAATAATTGTTAGAAATTTTATTATGTAATATTTAAAAAGCATCAATTTTTATCTTTTAGATCAAATCGCAAATCAGATTAATGGTTATTCTGAATTTTTAAAGGGAACAGTATACATAAATAATATTTTAATAATAAGAAAAAATTGTTTCTTAATAATATTTAAACATTGATGAAATTTAATAACTATTTTTAAGGAAGAATCTGATTCCACACATAGGGCTGAGCATTGGTTGGTTAAGTTCAATTCGGTATCAAAATATGTAACACTTATCGATCGAACAATGTTGAAAATATAAATGGATAAGGTAATCAAATCAAACCGAAATTTGATAGTTTGATTCAGCCAGTTAATTTGGTTTTGGGCATCACATTGAATTGCATGAATTTGGACTAATTTTGTTATTTTTTTTAACTAAAATAGACCAAACCTATATATAAAATTGAACTTATAAAATGATAGTAGCTCATTTTTAATAAGGGATTAGGCTTTAAATTTATAAAATTATATATTTACTTTTATTTAAGTATAAAATTTAAAAGAATAAAATGAAATAAAGCAATTAATAAATTAAATATGATTTATAAGTTAATAAATTATGTAGATATATATATATATATATATATATGATAATTCAGTTAGTTCAGCATATTCAACATTAAATCTTACTAACTAAATCAAACTAATCAACAAGAATATTTTTTAAAAAAACTAAATCATAGTAAAAAACCAAATAAACTAAATTAAATGATAAAAAATTCAATTTAATTTGATTTAATTTTCAAGTTTCAGTTCGTTTCTACTCGCCCATGTCCACACATTTCACTCTTAAGTCTTAACGACTTGGGTGACTTGACAAATTGGCCAAGTTCGGTTGCGTCAAACATTATTTTTATTTGATTTATAAGATACAAAAATAAGGTAACAAATAATTTTGGATATCAAAATTACTATTATATTTATAACTATAAAATTAAACAAAGAGAACATAAACAATGCTTAGTATGCAGAAAAATATTTTTGAAAAATAAAATAATAAATTCACCTTTAAAAGAAATGAGATACTCCATCCATTAAAAAATGTAAGGCATTTTTAATCGAATCTCATCTTTCGATAAAGTAGTTACATACTTTTAAATTAACCCTATTTTTTTTATATTTATCCCTATTAAACACCTAATAATAAATATAAAATTACTATTAATAGAAATACTTTTGAAAAAAAACAATGATTATATCTCAAAAGACTAAAAATATCGTATATTTTTAAACATTCAACTCCTTAAAAAATACCTTATATTTTTTAATGGAGAGAGTATATATTTCAATTTCTTTTTTAAAAAATATTTTTCACATGCCAAATATTATATGAAATAAAAAAAAAAGGACAAATGATCAGCCTTACTTGGAGTGGGCATACTATCACCATGTGATCATGGTCTGGCAAGGACAAGGCATATATGGCTGTCAGAACATAGCCAAATTAAAAATGAAACAAATAAAAAATCTTGCATTTTGAACGTGTGAACAATAATTGCACATAGTTACTGTCAATCTTAAGACCATAAAATAGAGTATGAGATTCGGGGGATTTTAAAATGATATTGTATTGTCTGGACAAAAGAATATCTCAAGTAAATTTATACCAAGATTGCGCTTGAGTGGAGTTGATTTTAACATTAATATCCGGTTTGATGCTCAACTTGAGTTAATATATATTGATTGGGCTTTTGGACGCATACGAGAAATTTAATTTCATTCAGAGTTTGCACAATCTACA